ACCTTGGCATCACCCTACCGCACAAGCGCATCACTCAGTATGTCCTGGCATGGCGTGCCAATCATAACAAACTGGCCCTCACCAGATGACTTCCCAGCACACTCCAATGAAGCGGCACGGGCGCGTCTTGGCAAAGACCTTGGCATCACCCTACCGCACAAGCGCATCACTCAGTATGTCCTGGCATGGCGTGCCAATCATAACAAACTGGCCCTCACCAGATGACTTCCCAGCACACTCCAATGAAGCGGCACGGGCGCGTCTTGGCAAAGACCTTGGCATCACCCTACCGCACAAGCGCATCACTCAGTATGTCCTGGCATGGCGTGCCAATCATAACAAACTGGCCCTCACCAGATGACTTCCCAGCACACTCCAATGAAGCGGCACGGGCGCGTCTTGGCAAAGACCTTGGCATCACCCTACCGCACAAGCGCATCACTCAGTATGTCCTGGCATGGCGTGCCAATCATAACAAACTGGCCCTCACCAGATGACTTCCCAGCACACTCCAATGAAGCCGCACGGGCGCGTCTTGGCAAAGACCTCGGCATCACCCTACCGCACAAGCGCATCACTCAGTATGTCCTGGCATGGCGTGCCAATCATAACAAACTGGCCCTCACCAGATGACTTCCCAGCACACTCCAATGAAGCGGCACGGGCGCGTCTTGGCAAAGACCTTGGCATCACCCTACCGCACAAGCGCATCACTCAGTATGTCCTGGCATGGCATGCCAATCATAACAAACTGGCCCTCACCAGATGACTTCCCAGCACACTCCAATGAAGCGGCACGGGCGCGTCTTGGCAAAGACCTTGGCATCACCCTACCGCACAAGCGCATCACTCAGTATGTCCTGGCATGGCGTGCCAATCATAACAAACTGGCCCTCACCAGATGACTTCCCAGCACACTCCAATGAAGCGGCACGGGCGCGTCTTGGCAAAGACCTTGGCATCACCCTACCGCACAAGCGCATCACTCAGTATGTCCTGGCATGGCGTGCCAATCATAACAAACTGGCCCTCACCAGATGACTTCCCAGCACACTCCAATGAAGCGGCACGGGCGCGTCTTGGCAAAGACCTTGGCATCACCCTACCGCACAAGCGCATCACTCAGTATGTCCTGGCATGGCGTGCCAATCATAACAAACTGGCCCTCACCAGATGACTCCCCAGCACACTCCAATGAAGCGGCACGGGCGCGTCTTGGCAAACACCTTGGCATCACCCTACCGCACAAGCGCATCACTCAGTATGTCCTGGCACGGCGTGCCAATCATAACAAACTGGCCCTCACTAGATGACTCCCCAGCACACTCCAATGAAGCGGCACGGGCGCGTCTTGGCAAACACCTCGGCGTCACCCTACCGCACAAGCGCATCACTCAGTATGTCCTGGCATGGCGTGCCAATCATAACAAACTGGCCCTCACCAGATGACTTCCCAGCACACTCCAATGAAGCGGCACGGGCGCGTCTTGGCAAAGACCTTGGCATCACCCTACCGCACAAGCGCATCACTCAGTATGTCCTGGCATGGCGTGCCAATCATAACAAACTGGCCCTCACCAGATGACTTCCCAGCACACTCCAATGAAGCGGCACGGGCGCGTCTTGGCAAAGACCTTGGCATCACCCTACCGCACAAGCGCATCACTCAGTATGTCCTGGCATGGCGTGCCAATCATAACAAACTGGCCCTCACCAGATGACTTCCCAGCACACTCCAATGAAGCGGCACGGGCGCGTCTTGGCAAAGACCTTGGCATCACCCTACCGCACAAGCGCATCACTCAGTATGTCCTGGCATGGCGTGCCAATCATAACAAACTGGCCCTCACCAGATGACTTCCCAGCACACTCCAATGAAGCGGCACGGGCGCGTCTTGGCAAAGACCTTGGCATCACCCTACCGCACAAGCGCATCACTCAGTATGTCCTGGCATGGCGTGCCAATCATAACAAACTGGCCCTCACCAGATGACTTCCCAGCACACTCCAATGAAGCGGCACGGGCGCGTCTTGGCAAAGACCTTGGCATCACCCTACCGCACAAGCGCATCACTCAGTATGTCCTGGCATGGCGTGCCAATCATAACAAACTGGCCCTCACCAGATGACTTCCCAGCACACTCCAATGAAGCGGCACGGGCGCGTCTTGGCAAAGACCTTGGCATCACCCTACCGCACAAGCGCATCACTCAGTATGTCCTGGCATGGCGTGCCAATCATAACAAACTGGCCCTCACCAGATGACTTCCCATCACACTCCAATGAAGCGGCACGGGCGCGTCTTGGCAAAGACCTTGGCATCACCCTACCGCACAAGCGCATCACTCAGTATGTCCTGGCATGGCGTGCCAATCATAACAAACTGGCCCTCACCAGATGACTTCCCAGCACACTCCAATGAAGCGGCACGGGCGCGTCTTGGCAAAGACCTTGGCATCACCCTACCGCACAAGCGCATCACTCAGTATGTCCTGGCATGGCGTGCCAATCATAACAAACTGGCCCTCACCAGATGACTTCCCAGCACACTCCAATGAAGCGGCACGGGCGCGTCTTGGCAAAGACCTTGGCATCACCCTACCGCACAAGCGCATCACTCAGTATGTCCTGGCATGGCGTGCCAATCATAATAAACTGGCCCTCACCAGATGACTCCCCAGCACACTCCAATGAAGCGGCACGGGCGCGTCTTGGCAAACACCTTGGCATCACCCTACCGCACAAGCGCATCACTCAGTATGTCCTGGCATGGCGTGCCAATCATAACAAACTGGCCCTCACCAGATGACTCCCCAGCACACTCCAATGAAGCGGCACGGGCGCGTCTTGGCAAACACCTCGGCGTCACCCTACCGCACAAGCGCATCACTCAGTATGTCCTGGCATGGCGTGCCAATCATAACAAACTGGCCCTCACCAGATGACTTCCCAGCACACTCCAATGAAGCGGCACGGGCGCGTCTTGGCAAAGACCTTGGCATCACCCTACCGCACAAGCGCATCACTCAGTATGTCCTGGCATGGCGTGCCAATCATAACAAACTGGCCCTCACCAGATGACTCCCCAGCACACTCCAATGAAGCGGCACGGGCGCGTCTTGGCAAAGACCTTGGCATCACCCTACCGCACAAGCGCATCACTCAGTATGTCCTGGCATGGCGTGCCAATCATAACAAACTGGCCCTCACCAGATGACTCCCCAGCACACTCCAATGAAGCGGCACGGGCGCGTCTTGGCAAACACCTCGGCGTCACCCTACCGCACAAGCGCATCACTCAGTATGTCCTGGCATGGCGTGCCAATCATAACAAACTGGCCCTCACCAGATGACTTCCCAGCACACTCCAATGAAGCGGCACGGGCGCGTCTTGGCAAAGACCTTGGCATCACCCTACCGCACAAGCGCATCACTCAGTATGTCCTGGCATGGCGTGCCAATCATAACAAACTGGCCCTCACCAGATGACTCCCCAGCACACTCCAATGAAGCGGCACGGGCGCGTCTTGGCAAAGACCTTGGCATCACCCTACCGCACAAGCGCATCACTCAGTATGTCCTGGCATGGCGTGCCAATCATAACAAACTGGCCCTCACCAGATGACTCCCCAGCACACTCCAATGAAGCGGCACGGACGCGTCTTGGCAAAGACCTTGGCATCACCCTACCACACAAGCGCATCACTCAGTATGTCCTGGCATACCAACTGTCGCTCACCAGATGACCCCCCAGCACACGCCGTTGAATGGGCAGGGGCACGTCTTTGCAAAGACTTCAGCATCACTGGAGTTGACTCTCCGGGAGATGAGATCGTCGTATATGTCTGATGCATGGGGGGACAAGAGGGGGGAGGAAGGGGGGGAACGTGGGGGAAGGTGGGGCAGGGGAAGGGACATTATACATATACATATACGCATAATTTATGTGCTATTATTCTCCGTTTTTTTTGTTGTTTTTTTATTCCAAGAAATTATGTGCAGACATTTGAGCTGCAGTGACGTACCATAAATTGAAAAGAGGCAGTTCATGATGCCTGCGCAGCCAAGCAACGGACAAAGGAGTTTTGCACAGGAGGAGGGGGGTTTGGGTAAAAATAGTCATCAGTAAAATACCATACCACAAATAAGATAAGTAAACTGAGAGAACGAGAAACGTCATGATGTATTTTGGAGAAGAAAATAGAGAGCAGTTAGCAACTTAGCAGTCTGAATTGTGTAGAGGAAGGGGTGTACCGATAAATAGGATGGCGAGGTTGAGGGGGTGAACCGATTGGGTGATGCCATATTCGAGGAAGAAGAAGAGGCCGAAGAGGAGCAGGAATCCCACACAGAGGAAGCGTAGTGTGTTCTGTGAGAGAAGCGGAGCAGAGGGAGGGATGCATGGCAGGAGCGGCCTTTTAAGTGCATAACAGTTATGTCAGTGCGGTTAAAGGATGCAAGCTGCATGCAACTCTCACGTTCTGGCGGGGAAGAGGGTGATGAAGAGAATGCTGCGGAGGATAATGCAGAGCAGATGCATGCGATGCAACTTCCAGAGAAGTGCACAGAACTTTGCTGGTCACGCACTTGGCGAGGAAGAGTGTGATGAAGAGGGTGGTGCAACGAGTGGTGCAACGAGTGGTGCAGCGAGTGGTGCAACAAGTGGTGCAACGCAGACCCGATGTGTTTCCAGATAGATGCGAATCTCACATTCTTGGCGAGGAAAGGAAGAGGGCGATGAAGAGAGTGGTGCAAGCAACGCAGATGTGATGTAACGTCCAGAGAAATACAAATCCCACGTTCTTGGCGAGAAAGAGGGTGATGAAGAGGGTGATGCAGAGGGTGATGCAGAGGATGACGCAAAGCAAACGCGACCTTCAAGCACGTGCACAGAAGATGTGTTGCTCACGTTCTTGGCGAGGAAGAGGGTGGCGAAGAGGGTGATGCAAAGCAGACGTGACCTTAAAGTGCGTGCGTAACAGTTATGTCACAGCTGTATGTCACATCTGCAAGCCGCATGCTGCTCTCACAGTCTTGGCGAGGAAGAGGGTGACAAAGAGGGTGATGAAGACAGTGATGAAGAGGATGACAGCAATGACGAGGAAGAGGGTGACAAAGAGGATGCAGAGGGTGATGACGAGCGTTGTCCACTTGTTGGTGGCGCAGAGGTCGTTCAACTAGCTATCTAGAAACACAGAGGTCGTTCAACTCACAAACCAGGCTCACAAGTCGATTCTCACGTTCTTGGCGAGGAAGAGGGTGATGAAGAGAGTGATGCAGAGAATGACAGCGATGACGAGCGTGGTCCACTTGTTGGTGGCGCACAGCACCAGCACCATGCCCCAGAAGGATGAGCCCAGGTCTGTTTGGTTGGTGTGAGGTGAAGCAGGCATGTTTGGGGCACAGAGTTTGAAGTTTAAGGTTGATTGGCGCACAGCACGAGCACCATGCCCCAGAAGGACGACCCCAGGTCTGGTAGAGTACGGGGTGCGGAGAGGTGATGCAGGCATGTGTGTGTATTGACTAGCGCACAGCACGAGCACCATGCCCCAGAAGGACGACCCCAGATCTGGTGCATGTGAGTGGGGTGAAGCATGCATGTGTATGTACGCATACGGTATGATGTGAGACAGCATGGAGTGGCGCACAGCACTAGCACCATACCCCGACCCCAGGTCTGATTGGCATGGGGTGTAAGATAAGAAGAAGGTTTGGGATTCAGAGTTTGCGGTTTAAGGTTGATTGGCGCACAGCACCAGCACCATGCCCCAGAAGGACGGCCCCAGGTCTGGTTGAGTGTGGTTTGTGTGTGCAGTGCAGAAACGCATCAGTGGAACAGCGGGAGTAACAGAAGAAACAGAGAGAGCAGGCAACGGGCAAGAAAGGGAAGATGGGCAACAGGTAGCCCGATTTTTTGGGAACCAGACTCCAGGCTGAAAGCACTGCGACTCACGTAAGGGAACCAGCACCACGATAAGTGGTTCGTTATAATGGTTCGTTTCTTATAAGTGGTTTGTGGTAAGTGGTTCATTATGAGTGGTTTGTGATCAGTGGTTCATTAGAAGTGTGGCTTGTGATAAGTGGCTTGTGATAAGTGGCTTGTGATAAGTGGCTTGTGATAAGTGGCTTGTGATAAGTGGCTTGTGATAAGCGGCTTGTGGTAAGTGGCTTGTGATAAGTGGTCTGTGATAAGTGGCTTGTGATAAGTGGCTTGTGATAAGTGGCTTGTGATAAGTGGCTCCTGACTCACATCCGGCAGGCAGAATGCACCACTGCCATCCGCCCCGAGTGCGAGTGACTCCCCCCTCGTCCATGTGCACCTCGATGCCCTCCACCTGCACCATGGGGCGATCCCACACAGCATGATATATTGTGATCCGTTACAATATATATAGAATTCGCCTCTGAAGGCCTCGTCCATGTGCACCTCGATGCCCTCCACCTGCCACAGGGCGTCCGCACACAAACCATGATTCGCAGAAGTCATATTACACTATGATTCGTTAGGCGTTGAGAATCTGGATCTGCCTAGGAAGCCTCGTCAATGTTCACCTCTATGCCCTCCACCTGCTCCGTAGGGCGTTCGCACATGTAGAGTATGATACAGTGTGATTCGGTATGCATTATAAAGTATTTGCCTCTCGAGGGCCTCGTCCATGTGCACCTCGATGCCCTCCACCTGCCAGAGGGCGTTCGCACACAGACAGTATGATACAGTCAGACTTGCTACGCATTAGAATGGGTCTGCCTCTGCTGGCCTTGCCCATGTGCACCTCGATGCCCTCCACCTGCCAGAGGGCGTTCGCACACACGCAGCATGATATGGTGCGATTCGTAATGCATTATAAAGGATTTGCCCCTGAAGCATCGCCCATGTGCACCTCTATGCCCTCCACCTGCACCATGGGGCGTTATCACACACACACACACAGTATGATACAGCATGCATGCATGCAGCAAGATAGAGCGTAACTCGTTATACATTATAACACGCTTGCCCCTGTAATGCTCGTCTATGTGCACCTCAATGCCCTCCACCTGCACCATAGGCGTACGCACATACAGTATGTTCACCCGGCATGTTCAGCCGTCTCACCTTGGAATGTTCACCCGGCTCACATCTGGGACCATTTCACACACACACACAAACCTTCCTGCCCGCCATTAGGCACCTTTCCCCCCATCATCACGCACCTTGCCCCCCATCATGACACACGTGGAGGCATGGCCTATCTCGTGCGTTTGCACTAAGCTCACAGTACTGTTCTCTCGACTTGAAATAGTTGAGTGATCATACCTGGAACCTGTTCACCCACACACAGCTTCTTTGCCCATGGGTTCATACCGGGACACACCTTCTTCCTTGCAACAACGCACCTTCCCTCCCGTCATGACACATGACGCATGCAGAGGCATGCCCTATCTCATGCAGGTACGCACTGTCTCATGCCGTGACGGCTGTAAGGCATGACCCCTGCTTACACACGCACCTTGGCTTCGGTCATAACGCATGCAGAGGCATGGCCTATCTCATGCGTTTGCACTAAGCTCACAGTACTGCTCTCTGGAATTGAAACACGCACGCACCTTCCCTCCTGTCATGACGCATGCGGACGCATGGCCTATCTCATGCAGGTACACGGAGATGAGCTTGAAGGGCATGAGCACGATGGTGCGCCATAGCTGGAGAGGGAAGGCAGGCAGAGGGAGGGGGGATAGAGAGGGCAGGCAGGGGTTGGGGAGCAGGGAGAAAGCCGCGGGTGTGTCAGTGCACGCGTGAGGGTAATGTTGAGTGTCCCCACGGAGATGAGCTTGAAGGGCATGAGCACGATGGTGCGCGATAGCTGGAGAGGGGAAGGCAGGCAGCGGGGGCGAGCAGCAGGGAAGCATGTGCGGTCAGTCAGTGCACGTGTTAGCCATAACACAAGGGAGGGTAATGTTGAGTGAGTGTCCCATCCGCTGCTGAGCTGGCATCGTCTGCTGAGCTGGCAGGGCGGGCCATCCAGCTGTAGCTGGCAACAACAACGGGGAGAGGAGCAGGGAGGGATGCGCGGCCAGTCAGTGCACATGTCAGTGATGGCATGAGGGAAGGTAACACTTAATCAATGTAACATATGGTCCGCAGAGGAGCTCCAAAGGCATCAGGCGGATGGTGCGCTATAGCTGGAGAGAGGGAAGGCAGCAGGAGAGAGCTGGGGGGATGTGGTTGTGCTCCAAGGGAACGTTTGCGACTCAAGACTAGCGCAAATGCTTAATATGTCGTGTCGAATCTGCTTGCAGCGAAGTCCGTTGGTACACGCTGTGTATGCATAGTGCAGTGTAGCTTCATTAAACAGTAACGGGTGTGCTTACAACGAGGATGATGAGCGCGTAGACACCGGAGCAGGAGAGGAAGATGGTCTGCTGAGTGTTACAGCAACCAGTGAGCGCCCAATTCGCCATTCCGACGAATAACTATTATCAGTCGGACAGATCGATATCCTTGATGACAAGTGAACGTCGAATAACTTTAAATCTTAAGCCGCTTAACGCTCGACGCAATGCGATCCTCGACGCTCGAGCCTCGACGTGAATAGCGTTATTTGAGCTCGTAGCGCCGTTCCGTCGCGTTTGCCCGATAACTATCGGCGCAATGCGATCTCTACTGAATTGATTGGGCACGCTGCTTATCTATGAAGCGGGACGGATACGACCACAGCACGTGATGCACAGACGTAATTCCGATGTGTTCAGACGAAGGAGGCTGGGATACGTGGAAACGCGAATGGGTGTGGTAATGCTACCAGCGGATGCTGGCGAAAAAACGAGTTTCTGGAAACTGCCGTAGTTTCAATGCTGAGAGGAGAAACCGATGACTTCCGTACATTTGTGAAATGCAAGGAAAGTCAGGGTGATGAGATCTCGAGGTTGGTTCAAGATCTTGCTATCACCGACCCGTTCAGCCGTACATTTTTCCGAGTCGATCTAGTTGGACCGATTAGAACCGTAGGGAACCACACGTCGCTGAAACCTAGTGATGTGCATCTGCATAATTCAAAGAGTTCTGCTGGCGCTGGCCATTCACATTACAGCTGTATTGGAGTACAGATGTCTTCCTGACAGTGGTTGGTGGGAGCAGTGTCAGCATCCCTGCCAGCAGTCGTCGGAATGATTTGCTGCCAGCAAACACACACAATTTGCCCCCTGAAAGCACGGGAAACTATGCCACTCATAACCATCATGGGACTCGATAAAATTTCTGGTAAACAAATAAAGGGTACGGTCACTGCAAAGGGTGTTTTCACGCGACTGATAAAACGTTTCACGTAATCAGTCACAATCAACGGGGGAAAAAAAACGCGAATGGTCATAGATGAAACTCCCGCCAAAACAAAATGAAACCCAAAAAGAACCTGGATGCATTTTCGAATGAATCAACCCTAAACACGTAACTCACCAGGTGTTTCGGGTTGATCCGTTCCCAACCGCATCCGATTCCGATTGGGTTTTAGATTTTTTACAGGTTAGCAGATTGGTTGGGCGCGAGCGGGAAATTTGTTGAGTTTCAAGTTGTTTGGCGGGAGTTACATGTGTGACCATTTGCGTGATTTTTTACATGTTGTTAGTGACTGAATCCGTGACCCCACTTACCAAACCCGTCAGGAAACCCGATACAGTGGCCGTACGCGTTTTTTTTTTTACCATTCACGTTAACGAGTCCCAAGTTGGTTACCTGTCAGAATATTATAGCTCATGCACATTGTGTAGGCTATAGTGGGGTAGCCCATAAGGGGTACAACCCAATTAGGGTTAGTACTTGTACCCAATTCATTCATAGTTCATTCATTCCTTGTTTCTTCTCATGGTATCGAGCAGGTTCCCCCGTGGGAACTGTTCCTAGGGCCCACCGTTTTTTTTTTCCTGCCCGGAGCGCACTCAGCAGCTGCCCGAGTCGCGCTCCCCTCTCTCGCGCCGCCCTAGCGGCCCCCTTCGCGCCGCCCTCGCGGCCCCCCTTCGAGCCGCCCTCGCGGCTCTATCCGCCGCCCTTCGCGGCCCCTACTCCGCCGCTCGCGGCCCTGATCCGCCGCCCTCGCGGCCCCGATCCGCCGCCCTCGCGGCCCCGCTCCGCCGCCCTCGCGGCCCCGATCCGCCGCCCTTCGCGGCCCCGATCCGCCGCCCTCGCGGCCCCTACTCCGCCGCCCTCGCGGCCCCGATTCGCCGCCCTCGCGGCCCCGATCCGCCGCCCTCGCGGCCCCTACTCCACCGCACTCGCGGCCCCTACTCCGCAGCCCTCGCGGCCCCGATCCGCCGCCCTCGCGGCCCCGATCAGCCGCCCTAGCGGCCTCCGGCCCCTGCTCCTACGGCCCCGGCGCCTGCTCCTACGGCCCCCGCGCCTACTCCTACGAGCAGCCCACCCGCCGAGCCCCCCAGCAACCGAGCAGCCCAGCCGCTGAGCCGCCGAGCCGCCCAGCAACCGAGCCGCCCAGCCGCCGAGCCGCCCAGCAGCCGAGCCGCCCAGCAGCCGAGCCGCCCTGCCGCCGAGCCGCCGAGCAGCCGCGCCGCCCAGCCGCCGAGCCGCCCAGCCGCCGAGCCGCCCAGCAGCCGAGCCGCCCAGCAGCCGAGCCGCCGAGCCGCCCAGCAGCCGAGCCGCCCAGCCGTCGAGTCGCCGAGCCGCCCTGCAGCCGAGCCGCCCTGTCCGGTAAGAGCAGCGCCTCTCTCACAGCACTGCCCTCACCCTACTGTTTGCACTGCTAGTCTATTGCTGTCATGGCTACCCCTAGTGTCCTCGCTTTTGACGCTGAGGGTCGGGCCATTGACTTTGACGTCTGGATAGATGACCTGCAGCTTTTCTTACAGTGCGACAGAGCAGACGGCCTCTCCCTCTTTGACCTCACTTCTGGTGCCTCTCCTGCCCCCGCTGCTGATGCTGACGCCACTGTTCGCTCACAGTGGGCCACACGCGATGCTGCTGCACGTCTTGCTGTGCGTCGCCACCTACCTACCTCTGAGCGTGCGCACTTTAGCCAGTACAAGAGTGCTCAGACCTTGTACGACGCTGTAGTTGCACGCTACTCCTCCCCTGCCACTGCTGCACTGAGCCGCCTCATGCTACCGTACCTCTTCCCTGACCTTGCTGCCTTTCCCACAGTCGCTGACCTCATTACGCACCTCCGCACTAGTGACACTCGCTACCGCGCTGCGCTTCCTGCCGAGTTCTGCGCCAAGAACCCCCCCCCCATGTACATCACCCTCTACTACATAGTCACCCGTCTCCCTGACTCCCTTCGTGTAGTCAGGGACCACTTCCTCTCGGTTTGTCCCACCACTCTCACCGTTGACCTCCTCGAGAAGGCCCTCCTAGCAGCAGAAAAGAGCATAGTCGCTGTAGGAGCCTCTCGTGGTGACCCTCGCACCCCCATCTTTGAGGGGTGTTCCCCCTCCCCTCTTTTGCCCTCTGTTGCCTCTGCTGCTGCGGCCGACCTCGCTGGTTTGGAGTCGGTTGGGGCAGCGTCTACCCCTAGCGGGAGACGCCGCCCTGGCAGGGGCAAGGGGGGCAGGGGCGCTGGAGGAGCTAGCGGGGGCGGTGGAGGCGGCGGTGGAGGCGGTGGAGGAGGTGGGGGTGGCGGTGGGGGTGGTGGCGGGGGTGGAGGTGTAGGTGGCGGCAGTGGAGGCGCGGGCGGCAGCGGCGGTGGCGGAGGGAGCGGAGGTGGCGGCGGTGGAGGAGGAGGCGGCGGAGGAGGTGGAGCTGGTCGGGGTGGCGCTGCGCAGAGGGTCAGCTCCGGTGGTGGTCAGCGCCAGTAGCAGCAGCAGCAGCAGCAGCAGCAGCGCACTCGTGACGTCCCCTCCCCTCAGCAGCTCCGTGAGTGGTACACTGCACGCCAGAGGGGTTGGGGTACTGGTCCGTGCACCTACGTCCTGCGCACCGGCGACCGCGCGGGTGAGCAGTGCGGGGGTGCGCACTCCACCCAGCGCTGCTTTGGCCGCCTGACGGACGCTTGGCGTCACCAGTTCCCTGAGGCCACTGAGATCCCCCGCTGGGGTGAGCTGTCTAGGGCGGGGGTAGCTGTCTTTGACCTTGACTTTGATGCTATTCTTGCTGCCATGTATACTGTGACTATTAGTGATGAGGGTGACTGTTACCGGTGTTTTCCGCCCGACCCGGGCATTGAGACTGCTGCTCTAGGTCCTGGTGAGGCTGCTGCTCTAGGTGCTAGCGAGGCTGCTGCTCTAGGTGCGTCTGCTCCCTCAGGTACTGGTGAGTCTGCTCTCTCAGGTTCTGCGTCGGCTTCGGCCTCCCACACCTTTACCCTTGACTCGGGGGCTTCTCGCTCCTTCTTTCGAGACCGCACCACACTCATGCCGCTTGGCCGGCCAGTTGCGGTCTCTCTGGCAGACCCCTCTGGGGGTCCTGTCCTTGCTCACTTCTCCACTGTCCTCCCGTGTCCGGCGGCCCCCTCTGGCACCCTGTCTGGTCTTTACCTCCCCTCGTTCTCTACGAACTTGGTGAGTGGTGCTGACCTACAGGATGCGGGGGTTCACCAGTTCACTCCTGCGAGTCAGCGGGTGACCCACTGCACGGACGCTCGGACAGGCCGACACCTGGCCACGTTTACACGTCGGCCGGGGTCGAGCCTGTACACACTGACCACTGCGTCTCCTCCGGTCCCTGCGTCTGGTCAGGTAGCTGCGTCGGGTCAGGTGTTTGCTGCAGCGTCCAGGTCTGGTCCTGAGTCTGCCCCCTGCTCGTGTCGCCTCCTGTCTCACGAGACTCTCCTCTGGCACCACCGCCTTGGTCACCCCTCCCTGCTTCGTCTCCGGAGCATGGCCTCCCGTGTCCTTGTCTCTGGTCTTCCCCGGTCCCTCCCTCCACTTCCTCCGGGGCCTGGCCCTACCTGCGTCCCCTGTGTCGAGGGACGACAGCGGGCTACCCCTCACTCCTCCCAGTTTCCTCCGACAGAGGCCCCGCTGCAGACGCTTCACATGGACGTGTGGGGCCCGGCCCGCGTCCGTGGACAGGGTCACGAGCGCTACTTCCTGCTGGTGGTTGACGACTACTCGCGTTACACCACAGTCTTCCCCTTGCGCAGCAAGGGTGATGTCACTGAGGTGTTGATCGACTGGATCCGCGCAGCTCGTCTCCAGCTCAGGCGGAGCTTCGGCTCGGACTTTCCTGTTCTGCGTCTGCACTCTGACAGAGGCGGAGAGTTCTCCTCTGGCCTTCTGCGAGCCTACTGTCGTGCACGAGGCATCCGCCAGACCTTCACGCTTCCGGACTCTCCACAGCAAAATGGGATTGCTGAGCGCCGCATTGGCATGGTCATGGACGTCGCCCGTACGTCCATGATGCATGCGGTTGCCCCCATTTTCTGTGGCCGTTTGCGGTTCGGTACGCGGCGCATCAGATCAACCTTCAGCCCAGGGTCTCCATGCCGGAGACCTCCCCAGCCTTGCTGTGGACGGGG